TGGAGGTCACAGTTGAGACACCTTTTAATTCAACATTACATCACTGCTCGTGTCGTTTTACAGGATATTCTGCGGCTTGGCTTCTATAAAGGTAACAGCTTCGCAGTTGTGTCTGGCTAATCACTTCTACGCAAACAGCAAATGGTGATCGGGGTTGATGCGTGTGAGTGTGTGTGTGTGCGCGTGTGTGTGTGAGGGGGTTACAGGCGCTATATATATCTGATCCCCATGAGAAAGAGAAAGGAGCCTCTCTGCTTCAATTCACTTTCAGACACCGAAGAAGGTGCTGATGATGCAAAAGGCTTCTCCAATGTCACCGTGGTATTTCATTCATTATTATTGAGCCATTATTATTAGCATCATATTATTATTATCGTTATTAATTGTAACATAGTCGTACAGTATGATATTATCATTATAGTAGTTTAGTATTTATTTTATTGCTAAACAAACTCGGTTTCCCCCCGTTGAGTATCCTCAAATAATAACACGTAATATCATAGAAAAAATAGAATTGTAAAAAATATCGGCTATGTAATGGGTTTTGGATTTCTGTCGTTATGTTTTTCTCATATGAATTGATGTCTTAAATATTCACATCACTCGAAGAGACAGTTCAAAGAGGTTGTGAAAGAGACGTGCAGGCACCACCAGAGGTCACTTTCAGGGTGCAGTCACAAAATATAATTTATATATAGGGAATATGCGGAAAGCAATATGGGATTTTGTCAAATGCAGCTCTGTGTGTTTCTTTTTAGAGGGGTATTTTACAAATCATTTCCAAAAGAAAGCATCAAAGCATTCAAACAGGAAACGTGCGCTTATTAACACGTTTATAGTTGTCACGTCTATTATTTGATTTATTTCAGTCATACAATTTGTGTGGTTACAGAAACGAGTTCAGTCCTCTCCTAAGCAGGGTCCTTAAGCAAAACTCTTCAGCTCACATGCAGTAAAACGACAGTGTGATGTCTCTGTGTGTGCTGTGATGTTGCAGCACGCAGGCCGACATCACCGCGGAAGAGATTCAAGCCGCTAGGGGGCGTTAAGTGACACCTGGCTCTATATTAGGGATTTCAAAAATCAAATAAATATTTAGGAAGACACAACAACCTGAAAACATTAAGGATAAACCTTTCCACACAATCAAGCAATCTTTTTTATTTATTTAATCATTTTGTACAATCATAAATGGATACATCTTCTAGAATATACATCGGAATTGATTTTTAAGGAGGACAACCTGAAATAAATTAAAATCTGGTCCAATCGTTACTTTTCATTGGCAATAGTTGATGAGCGAAATTAATATAGTAAATATTCGTATCCTTATGCCCCAGCAATCACAATATGCCCACTGCTGTATTAATAACACATTATTCATCTTTGACTTAAAACAGCGTTTCAGCAGAAGACACAACGTTGAAATGTGCCTGACTCCACGTGAGCTTAAACTAAAACAGTGTTGAAAAAAAAATACAAAAGATGTACCACAGGTGATAAGGAGGTATTCAAATATGAATTTAATTGTGCAATAGACAAATATATTTAGTAGCCTACCTCGCTGCAGTTTGTTTTAACCCATAAAGGAAACTGTCTCCTTTATGCCGTTAACCCATTTACAATTTCTTTACCGTAAACAAATGCTTCACGTCATTATGTCAACAACAATTCAATTTGCTCATTGGAGGAATGTGCTTATTTGAAGCGCAAACAGTCGCACTCTCGCGCGCTCACACTCGATAATGACCTTTGCACGTGCTTGTGCACAAGTGCAGGGAAGCCTGGACTGTGGTTCCCACAGCTCTATACCAGCCAGTCTATATTAGTCTCAATCCACAGTCTTTTAAAAATAAAGTTCACATTGTATGTTTGATTGCTGACTTGTTTTACCAACAAGTGAACTCAGATACAGAGCAGGAAGAGCTTAAATAAAAGAGGAAACATTGAAATAACATGACAAGTTCATTTAGACTTTAAATCATTCACTTCTAGACAAGTATATTAAAAAGTTGAAACAAATAAGTGAGTTTTTTTGTTGATAATGTGGGTGTTATTTGTTTTGCACACCTGTAAATATACCTTTGTGTAGACCTAAGTAGGAGAAAGTTAACTTTGATCTTGTTAGAAACATCACTCATCCTTCAAATACCTTCATCAAGTTATGATTAATGCTCGTCCTATTAATATGCATATATAGTTCCTATACCTTAAAAAATAGGGAATTTGGGGGAGTTTTGAATATCAAGAATACAAAGAGACACAAAAATGAGTATATACATCAGTAAATTAACTTGGTAAAGTGATTCAGAGGCCGAAGAATGTGACCTCCCCAAAGGTTACCATTCTGTGGCCCACATATCTCAGTAAAAGTAAATGCATAAAAAAAGTAACCATTTCTCTCATGAGTATACGCACAATCATTCCTTCTTTGTGATGAGATTCATGCTTGGACAGTGTTTCAGTACACCTGACCCAATTGAAAAAAATAGATGAATGCTGTTCGTACAAACACATCAAAGTATATAGCTGTGGTCATATGCAGCCTTAACTTCTCAATGTGGTTAATTTACACACAGATATTCTCTCACAAACACTTTGACCAAATCTCAAGAAACCACAAGGGCTCATTACAATTGAGTGTTTCACCTGAAGGCCCTGATCGGATTACGTGTTCAAGCTAAGAAAAATGTCAAAGCATTAGTGCTTTACATGCTTCACGGTTTATGTGTATGTGTGTTGTGTCTATGATTAGAAGTAGCTGTCTTAACACTGAAGCAGACAGTACAAATTGGGAGTCAAACACATGCACAAACTAGGTGTCAAATAATTACTGTGAGCACGGCTGGTTGGGGAATAACTTCAACAGCAACACTAACAATTTTAAGAATGTCTTTTGTCCACACACCAAATCAATAGTTGCTGTATGTAATGCTTATGCCACCTGCAGTGCGACTCGTCAGAGTGACTCTAGTGTCTCAATAACCAATGTAATGGCCACAAGTTCTGTCCTGATCATATCAGGATTTTTATCAACAGATGGAATTTGCCCAGTCGTCATGGAAATACAGATGTTTTAATATCCATTTCAATATTAACTTATAAGTCAACATGGATGAGGAGGTTTTTTTAACTTTAGAATGAACTTTCACACTCATTTGGTTTTATAGTTCCACTCTCATGCCTATAAGTATCACAATCATGCTGCTTTGACACAAAACCTCAGACAGATGTGAAATACCTGTTAATGCATTTTATAGTACTGCAGGATTTCCCAAACAATTCACTGATGATACCATGAGGATTAAGTTTTGAATTATGGATCTTTATTTGGTGTCATGTTAACATGTGACAAAATAGCAGAAGTTTAGCAAACTTGACTGTTTATATGATAGACGACAATGACATTGGCAAGCAAGGCCCAGGCCTCCATAATAACTAGGTCATCTTCCACCACAAGCTATAGCCTTCTTCTGGGCGGAGACCACAGACAGTAAATGTAGGTACAGCAGTTACTGAATATTTAAAAAGGCATAGAGATGAAGCAATAAATGACAAAGTAAAGCTGGCGTGGCCAGGCATTAATAACTAATGGGTACCAGTGAGTTATAGGCTGCTGCCGTTGTAATGAAAGTGTCATTGCAAATCAGCAGTTGTCCGAGGTTATTATTATTTATGCATAATTGATGCCTGAACCACAAGAAACATGTCTCACCCAACAAATTCCAACACCTTGGGAGCAAAGACGGTGGAGTCAACAGAAGTAAAGGTCACAGAGGAGAATATGCCCCTGGGCTGAGATTTACATTGGGCAAGGGGAGGCTTGCATTGTATAACCATACACACATCTGTATACAGGAGGTTACACCAAACATGAGACAGCTGATCCTCTACTGCTCCATACAGTGGATACTGCCAGGTCATGGTATGATGCTATAATGTTTAAAATAGACGCCTACAGTGAGTCAAAACAAGGATTTAATTAGGCGCTTCTAATTGAACATTCCTTGAGCATTAGTTAAATGATAGCCTTTTCTTAGTACATTAAAGTTAAGCTACTTTTAGTTATCTTCTCCATAAGAGTCAATTGTAATTCATTAATTTCACTTAATACTTGCCAGTATGCACCACAACTGTAATAAGTTGTTTTCTAATTCACAAAAAAAGAAAACTTTCGGACTTCCACCAAATCTTCTGTTATGCCGACATTCAATATTCAACATTCAATATTCCTAATTTAAATACAATATTTGGAATTTCAAAGGTATCTGAAATATATGTTTACAGTTAGTAACTTATATTCATATTTTAGAGATGTCTCAAAAAATGATAAAATTGTGCCTTTAGGGATATTGTAGGATGTAGGTTGTTGTTGGGCCTATATCAAATTGACATCCAGAATTGGGCCAATCTTATGACCCTGGTATAATAATTGAGGAATTTACTAGCAGTGTTTGGAAAAGAGGGTAATTTCAGTCGTCATTTAATAAGTTATACATTTAGTTCCACCGCCTGTATTATATCATTAGCATAGTTTGTTATTGTATTATTGGACATTCTCATTTACTGCTTCATGAAAAACAGTTCTTCAAGTTCCGACCCCTGAATTCAACCTCAGCTGTAAGTTATTGAGATATTAGTGGACAAATAGACTTTTAATAATGCACAATATCCATCAATTTGTCATGAATCTCGTCTCAACCAATGTTGCATTCATTGGAGCTGGGAATTTTGATACTTTCAAATCAAAGTAGTAACTATGAACAAAAAACGATTAAAGTCACAAGTGATGTAACCTTAAATTTTAGATTACCAGATAATACTTAAACGATCCTCTATAGCTAAGGTAACAACTCGTTTGATAAAAGGTTCCAGCCTACGCTATGCTGCGATGCCTTGATTTAAGAAAAATACCGTCTTTCTCTAGATGTTACTGAATGCCTCATGTCTCTGGCTTGTCGCGTCATCGGGCAGTGCCCAATGAAAATGCGCAACGAATCCTTGACGGATGACGTACCAGGAAATGTATATAGCTTCCAAAAGCAAACGACTTTTTTAGCTTTTATTTCTCCCCTTTAAGCTAATTTTACCGGTCGAAGTCATGCAAACGTGGAGTCTCGTGTCAATTTGTGTGTTGCTCGGCGTTGTTGTGAGATGGGGCGTTTCCTTAAATTCATATTCAGGTAGGAAGAGTGTGGAGTTTAACGTTAACATCCTGCACCACTCAGAGAAGTCACAACAGTCTTCTTTGCCACACCGCTGTTTATTTCAGTATAGCTCATTTAATTTGTCATAGAATATTGACAGAAAGTTGTTTTTCAACTATCATAGTGTTGCTGTTAGCGGTTAGCATCTACATGGCTGGCGTGTGTGCGTGTGGTTAAGCGCTGTCAATCATTCGTGTAGTTTCCCATTCATCACACTGAATGATTTCTCTCCAGGGGCGGGGAAAGCTCCCATGTTTGGCGACTATGAAGCTCAAAGGCACTGGCAAGAAGTGACCTACAACCTCCCTCTCCAGGAATGGTCAGTCTGAAGTTTGTTTACTCGGGGGAGCAAGTTTGAGAAAGCCGAGCTCGTTCGGCCACCTGGAAAGAGTATGAGCTCTTTTTGGGCTTTGACAGTGACTGGAAATAATTGTAATGATGGGCCTCAAAACACACTCATGTAAATTGCTGTGGGATAACGAAAATATCCCAAAAGAACACCCAAAAAAGTAACAAAATTAAAGTTGAAACTGCATGTATATAACAGTAAAGTGTGCACCATAAAAACATTAAAGGGATCGATAACCTTACATCAATGGCTGCATCCTCTATTGTCCTCCCTCCTATTTGTCTGACACTTCCACAGTTTCAGATATAAATAAACATGTTTTTATACTCATTCAGGTACTTCAACACTACTGAGAATGACTTGAACTACTGGGGTCTTGACTACCCGCCTCTGACTGCCTACCACAGTCTGATCTGTGCCTATGTGTAAGTCATTTTTATTATTTAGAGAATGTGTAATAAAGAACATCTCTGCTGCAGTGCATTAATGTAAAAAGAGTTTCCATATGATGTTAGTTTCTACTTCTGTATTCTATTCTACTGTCTATACAAAAGCTTGCATGTCATTTTAGGCTTTATTTTTTAGGATGCTATAATTTCTATACTAATTGTTATACTATACCTATATATTCCTGCAGAGCCAAGTGGATAAACCCTGAATGGGTGGAGCTTCACAAATCCAGAGGTTATGAAAGTCCAACGCACAAGTTATTCATGAGAGCTACAGGTACAGTAACCATGATCTACCTCAACCTAAAGACTCATTTACTTACTTCAGGGTTCCTATGCAGCATGGAAGGGGATGGAATTAGATTTTTAGTCATTTCCAGGTCTGGATGAGTTTAGAAAAAATAAAAGAGAATATGGAAAATGATTTGTGTGTACACATTATAGCCCCATATTCTGTTTTCTACAATATTAAAATCAGAATAAAAGACAAAAAATTCATCACAAAAGCAGAGTGCTTTTCATGGCGTTTGGAGTGGGCAGCCAGCGCAGCCAAACTGTTCACCACCGTGTGAGAAAGCACGGGCCAGAGTGTGCTTGATGACTTAGAAAAGCAAGGCCAGAACGCACACTCCTCCACAGAGCTGCCTCTACGCCTGTACGTCACATTCTGCAAAACAGCTCGACGCCAAGTACATTGGGTAAAGGCAAGTTTTTTGAGGGCTGGTTTGACGATTCCAAATATAAAGACTGGCTGGCGAAGGATTCGAAATGTGAGAAGAAAGACAGATGCAAACTTTATGTAAACTCGTCCAACACCTTCAACATGAGAGAAGGCGGCAACTGTAAGCCATAGGCAAGTGCAAAAGCACTGATGTCAAATATGGTCTGAAAAAATCAAGGTTTGGATTGTGAAATGGAAAATGTGTTGGAACCCTGTTACTTATAATATAATATGGTTCTTTGTTCTCTTTCAGTCCTGGTGGCAGATTTGATGATATTCATCCCTGCTGTGGTTTTATACTGTTTATATCTGACTGATGGATCCTTTAAAAAGAAGGTAACACACTTGCCTAACATGACATCTAATTGGTTTTTCAGCTAAAGACCCAAATGAGCCACATTGTCCTCTTAGTGTGGGGAGTCCACCCTTATTAAAACGGATTACAGTGCTGCTCATCCAAATTGAGGAATTATAAAGTCATTATTGCAATAAAATATGATGCCGTTACATTTTCCAGGAAGTTATGAATGTATGAATACATTTACAGTACAATCAATTAAGAGGGATCTTTGTCATATTTTGATTGTGTCTTAAATTATCAAACAGTTATTACAAGATTGGTAGCTACAACAGACCAGCTTAGTCTGTAAACAGGCAGCACTAGAACAGTCTATCCCAGCATGCATTGCCTTATGTTGAGTGCCCAGTGGGACAGGCACTTTGAATAAAGAAAACAGCTTACTTTATTTTGATTTGTCACGCAATAAAGTCTGCACATGTTACCAGATGATTCAAACTTGTGAAACATAACATTTAATGCATCATCGTATAGTTTTAACTGGACTGTAGTTATGTTTACCTTCTAACAGCTAAATGCTCTTTTTGTCCAGGTGTCCACTGTGTTCTGCTTCCTTCTTTACCCCGGCCTAATTCTCATTGACTACGGACATTTCCAGTATCCTTTATGTACAGGTTCATTAATACCGTTTATTCACTGTAATATGAGATATCATTATTGTTATTTGCTTTGATGACTTCCTGTGAAATACTGACCTTCAAAGTTGCAAAGCTTGGCTTTAAAGTCCCAATCCAATAGTAGTAGTAGTAGTATATTAAGTTAATAATTCATATAATATATTTTCTCATTGTTTTGTAGCTTTTTATGTTGTATTGATTGACAATGTAATACGTTTTTTTAAGGACTGAAATTGTATTATTTTAGATGTGTACCACTAAATGAGTGTCTTCTGAATGGCATTATAAAGCTACTATTTGGACATTTTGTCCCACAGCTACATTAGACAAGATTGCTTAGAATTTATATTATATAATATCCATATTATATCTTATATTATAAGATATTAAATGTGCCATTTTTCTTCATAGAATCATTCTTTTATAGAAACATGAGCTGACATGGAGTACAGGTATTTTATTTCATGTCTGCAGTGTCCTATCATTCTCTCTTATCATGACCGAGTTATAAAACAGTTAGAAAAAGACACAACTACACACAACAATAAAAGAGTTGATGAGTAAACTGAGCAACTGAACTGACCCTGGATCAGCTGCTGTACACCGAGCTGTTTCCTTCCTACCATAACACTGACCTTAACCCAATCGGGTACAATGGAGTGAGTCTGGGCTTTGCCCTGTGGGGGGCTCTGGGTCTGGGTCTGGGCTGGGATGCGTTGGGCTCCGTGGCCTTTTGTCTGGCTCTCAACTACAAACAGATGGAGCTGTACCACGCTCTGCCCTTCTTCTGCTACCTGCTGGGGAAGAGTGTCAAACTGGGCCTGATGGGGCGAGGGTGAGTTTGTTTGTTTGTGTTTTATCATTCACTGCTATCACTTGAAGTTGATGTTTCAACCACGTCTCTTTGACTTTTAGCTTTTTTGTTGTCTCTCTGCTAACTGGTTTCTCACCCTCTTGATTGGGATTGTTATCATGAAATCAGCATTGTCTTTTTCTTTTTAGATTATATAAGCTGCTCCCCAATCTTTCCATGCGCGCTTGTAACTGCAGAAGTCAGAGAGTCGCAGTTCAAGCCACAGCTCACTGACAATAAAGTGTGACCAAAGAATGAATCACGTGAGAACTGCCAGGAAAGAAACAAGGAGGAGTGCAGCAAAATGGATTTGTCATTTTCATCTACTGCCTTCTTGAAAGAAGAGAAAGTCGGATACAGTCAAACGTCAATGTATAATAAACTGAATTAGTTCAGATCACAACTTATGTCTCAATAAAGCAACCGCTAGAATCGAGGATTATTATATGGATTTATTTTGTGTCTGAGAAGGCATAATTATTCAACCATGTCATTGTTTCGTTATCTTGTTTTGTCGGTGTGAGGTGAGTGCTCAAAGCAGATACGTAATGTCCGTCTATAAGCGAGCCGTGTCCTCAGGAGAGCCGCAGAATGACTGAGGTAATCAGATTGGATGCTGTTACCAGTGTGTCCAGTGTCTTGTTTATCTAGTAACAATGTACCAAGGGCATTTAGTAGCAAATGGAGAGCGGGATTAGAAGGGCCGGGAGAGATATGTCCAGATGACGCTCCCGCCATGCCCAAACTCCTCAGCTATGCTGCGTGTGCAACTTAACCAGCAGCTTCACAGTTACAGCTGACGAGATAGCCTGACCCACACGGGAGACTTTCAGCTGATGCGTGGCTTTCACTGCATTCCTCGGCACGAGGGTCAAGTCCCAAATTTAGGACTTGCAGACAGAAATGTAGACATTTTGTTTTAAGTATACGAAGATAAACTTAATGACTCATGTCAATGTTTGTATTTTTTTTTTTTTAGAAATGACATTGACGTATTTCTCCATTATAGATGGCATATCTGTACCTCCTGCACTTTGTGACCCTCTTCATGTAGGCTCTTCCTGTTGGTGAGAATTGCTTCGGCAGTGTTGGTGACCTTTGCCCTCTGCTGGCTGCCCTTCCTGTCTGACCCCGGTCACGCCATGCAGGTGGTCAGGAGGATCTTTCCCGTGGCTCGCGGCCTGTTTGAGGTACAGTAGAGTGTCTGGAATGAAAGGTCGGCCTGAGAACCACATCTGAGAAGCTCGATCTTTTAGTCTCTTAGTCTTATAAAAAAAACATTTGTACTATTTGTCATGCAAGCATGTAAGAATAGCTACTCACAATCCCCATGTGTCATTTAAAGAAACAAGAGGAAGAAGGTAATATCTCCTGATAGATCAGTACAACGCGACACATAAATAATTAGAGGGGGAGGAGGGTCCAAAAAGGTCAAGGGTTTTGTTTTGTTTTTTCCCCCGGAGAGGAGATGAGGGTCTTTTATTTTCACTCACTCTGTGGTTGTAATAACGGTTTGTTTATCAACTCTTTTATTTGTAAATGGCTGTATTGGAATCATTTGGTTATGTTTTCCATAAATATATTATTTTGAGATATTGGGTTTAGGCTATTACATGTTTTTTTTTTAAAGACAAAATGACCCCCCTTTTCATTCCCAATCATTTCACACAGTCCTTTAGAGCTTACTTTCTGCACTGGTCTCCTGATATGACCGTGTCTCACAATTTTGGACCTTTCAATCAATCAGTTTGTGATTAATTAGCTCTTTTTTAATATCAGTATATTGCTTAAGTAACAGTGTGAATTAAATGCCTGTGAGGTGGTATCTACGGGCTTTAAATCAATATCATTTCTGTTGAAGGGTGATGTTGTTTCAAGACGTAACACAGTGATCATTCTAAATTATAATCCTGTTAAAGAGAGAAAGGCTGTTTGATATTATGGGATGTCTGGGATGTGTTTTCTAGGAAGTGACATTTCTCTAAGAAGTTATAGCTTTTTTATATTTGAACAGTTTACAGCACAGGGCTTTGACCAGTGAATGAAAGTCAAACACAACCAGTGTGGCACTCCTCGTGCCGTACACACTGCTCCCCTTACTCTCAGCGCGGTGAACTCCCTCCACCCGGCACTGCTTAGCCGGTGGGAAATGGATACCCGGCAGGATCAAAGAAAACAGAGGAATAAAATGGTGAAAGGTCAGGAGATCAGTTTCACTCTATCTCTGGGAGGTGTTGGGGGGTTCGGGACGTACAGTAGGAGGATATAGATAAATCTAAATAATTTATGGCCTGGCTGTTTTCAGCACTTCATAGCAGAGCCATGTTCTAGCCTTATGGACAGTGAAGAGTGGGGCAAACGCTACATTTAATGGCGTATCGGAGCACGTCCGACAACTGTTGCCCGATGCCGACTTTATCTTTGGAAAGCATATAAGTATGATAGACTGTTTCATAGCACGCACACGTATGCTGTGGTCAGTCAGTCGTTGCCTCTTAGAGAAAGGGAATATGATATTAATTTAAAAAAGAAAGCGATTGTGAACAGGGAAAACTTCAGCTGGCCGTGTTAAGAGCTTTCATGGCAGGAGCGGTGGTAAAGTAACGGTGTGTATTTCTGTGCTTGCATGTGTGACTGACAGCTCAGAGGCCAAAGTTTGCAGCTCTCATTTCTGAAAGCCCGTATCCCTCCTCTTGTCCCCAGTCCCCGAGGTGGCACCCACCGCAAGGTGTCACGGATGTGAGAAGTAATTGAAAATTCTACTAGGGGAGCAGATGGCAGCATGCGCTGTGGCAGTATTTGTTCAACGAAATGATGCAAACATAATACACAGGGTGTGAGAGACACTATACTCTCCTGTGACGACAGCACGAGAGGCTGCCGGGTCGAGTCATCCCGGACTAATTGTGAAATTGTGCACGTAAGCAGAAGCTTTGGACAAGGGGTGAGGTGGGGAAGAGGTGGGCTGCTGACTGCTGGCTGTGGCTGCTTCAGGGTGGGAGCAGTTGTAAGTTTACCCACTGAGCTGCATTCTGGCGTCTCACGTTGCTGCCTGCTCACAAAAAATGGCACCAAATGCTTCTCCCTGTGAAATTCCAGGCTAGCTTATAGGTGAAGGAGCCGCACTGCTCCCCCCACCGTTCATGTGTTGCCCTCAGGCTGCGTTCGGGAACATTCTCGCGGCGGTTATTTGGAGCAGGGAGGCAAAGAGGAAAGAGACAGCGATGGGGCTGAGACAACACAACACTGGACGGCCCAGTGCTGCTGACCAGGCGGCCTTAAGATCCACACAGCTGTGCTGTGAGCAGCTGTAGCACAGAGGAGGAGGGCGGAGGCCAGAAATAGTTTCTCCTAGACAGGGCCTTGCACTCAAACCATTCACAGTGGAATCATAAAGCTGATCTACGCACGCCGTCTCTGTGACGTGTGATATCATGGTGCACCTGGGCCTCCATATCATCTGATCCCTGCACAACTGCTGAAGCACTTAAATCAACTGAATCTCACAGCAACGCCCTCCTCATCTCTTATAAACCACAAGAAGGCTGCAACATGTCTTCCACATTATTCAGATCTGATTTACAAACGATATAGTCGAGCAGAAAAAGCCAAATCATCTCTGTATTCAGCTTCCCAAATGTGATGATGTTCTGCTTTTCTTTGTAAGTTGAATCTGTAGGTTTGGACTGTTGGTCAGACAAAACAAGTAATTTAAAGACATCACTCTGGGAATAATTGGCACATTTTTTGATAGTTAAAATTGTTAGTTGTAGCCCTTGTTTTCAGCAAATTACTGTAGTCAAATGGTTTTAAAAGAAAATGTAATAAATGAAATGACATAGAGGATTGTCGAACATATTAACATATATAGTATTTCCCGGTAGTGCTCTGTGGTTGGTTCCTGTCTGCTGGTTATGCAGAAACTACTCTGGTTTGACACTTGACCTTGGGTCCCCAAGTTTGCAAATAAGTCCCATGCTCTGTCTGACAGGGGAGTAAATTCATGACGGAGGGTTACGTACAAATGTCCCTCTGGAATGCTCCGGGGAATGTTTTTTATTGCACTTTCAATGGGAAATAATTATTTCCAGCAATGCCACTTATGTGTTTTCTCTTCAAATGGAACGCAGAATATTTTTTTTTGTACACAGGCATCAAGACGTGTTGAATTTAAAAAATGTTTTGACATCATTTCTTATTTAACCAAGTGGTGTGCGTGTGTGTGTGTGTGTGTGTGTGTGTGTGTGTGTGTGTGTGTGTGTTTGTGTGTGTGAACAGGATAAGGTGGCCAACACGTGGTGCAGCTTGAACATCCTTATAAAGATCAGATCCGTTCTGTCCAATGACTCCCAGATCTACCTCAGGTAATCCCTCTGTTTTGTGTCTATTCCTCCCCTGCCTCTTATTTTTGCTCCTTTCATTTTCTGGGAAAGCAGTGGTCGCTCAAGGGAATGAAAACCGTGATCCAGCTGGGTGCAAATGAAATCATCCCTTAACAAAACTAAAGTGGGTGAGAGCAAAATGAATCCTGCTATCAGGGGAGATGACGTTGTAAACACTGACACTCATGACAATCAACTAGATTTTCTCTGCCCACTACCCCTCAGAGCCTCCCATGAAGTGTTCGGATAAGTTATTTTGCCTAAAAGCTGAGAGCCTGTCCGCTCATGATGAGAAAACAGTTGTGTCATGGTGGAGCCTGCTTAAATAACCTGGCACGCTAAATTTAGGAGTCCTATGTTCGCAGCATGGACACGTTTCTGCTAGACTGCTAAGTCCGGGGATCAAGTTGGACTTCTTTGACTGTAGCGCATTTCAAACAAATGAAAAACACTCTTGTCTTTTTGGCACGGGCAGCGGATTGGCTAAATGCTCTGGTGTGGGCATACTGTGTACATAGAATGAATCAGCTGTGAAAAGTGATCCACGTCCTTCCGGACCGCAAAACCCTGCCCTAAACATAACGCACACACACATAATAACACACACATAACACACTCGCTGTCATACCCACTAAATACCCACTTACTGGTCCCCGTTACTGCTATCTATGGACCACTATCTCTGTCTATCTACATCGATCATTATCTCTGTCCATCTGTCTGTGTCGTAGTACAAACACATTGTTGCCCTCACGCCTTGAACTAACTCGCTGCTCCACCTCTCAGCACATTCACATTCACACTGACACATAGTCACTCTCTTCCGGTGCCTCCACCCCCAGCAGGTGACAATTGAAGGGTTAAACTAAGGCCTGTAACCATAAGAAGGGGCCAGTATTTGGTCATTTCACACATAGCGGAGGTCTTAGTTTTCGGAGCAGGCGGTGTCTGAAAACAAAAACAAAACGCAGCAAGATGGATCCACAGTTAGATTTTGGTTTGACCTTTTGTTTTGCCTGTTGCATCAAAATCAGATTATCTAGTACCACTGACTGAAAAGGAATGTTATGTTTTGTCATTGTGGCAAAACAGTAAGTGGACTGCGTTTCCGTTCATCACCATCAGTTTTCACATTACGTCACCTCAACAGAAAGGTGTTCAGTATGTTTACACCTGGATTAATGGGCAAATGCACGTTTTCATATTGACTCTATCTTTCATTTGATACTTGACCCGTCTTCTGCTGTATAATCATTTGTTTTCCTGCTGCAGTATCTTCATCTCTCACTGAGGATTTTTATGCATTTAAGTATGCTGATGTGAGATCATCTTAATTCTTGTTTGCGTTGTTTTTCAGCTTGGCCTGCACTCTCCTGGCAGTCCTACCATCCTGCCTCAGACTTTTGACGAAGCCCACCTTCTGGCAGTTTAAACTGGCCTTGGTTAGTAGCATCTAACTGATGTCAAAACAATAACGAGCTGAAAGTACGGAGCCTCCCCTTACAGAGAAAGTAGGCCTGTTCTTTTAACCTCGAAATATGTGTAATTTAATCATTTAAATCGGAGAACTTTCTGCATTTCACCGTCGTGTCTAAAATAATATAAAATAAGTACAATGTGAACATTTTTGATGCGTCCAATCATACATTGCCTTCCCTGCCTTTATTAAAAAGTATGTTATCCAGTATTATTGTTCAACAGTAGTTGTTCTCACTTTTAGGCAAACTCATCTCTGGCGTTTTTCCTCTTCTCCTATCAAGTCCACGAGAAGTCCATCCTCTTGGTTGCCTTGTAAGTACAGAGGTAACACTTCTCGGTTTTTCTTCTCACGTGTTGCGTTCTCGACATGCGACAACAGTGATGGTACCAAACATCAATGTCACGTTTTATGTCTTGTAGCGATACCTCAAATATTCACCAGTATAGATTTAATTACTGCTCACAAAGGAGCCATTTGCCCGTTCCCCCACTTCAGATAACAGTTTATGTCCTGCAGATTGTTAATGAGTTGAATATGTGCGCGCTCTGTGAAAGTGATATCATCCTCCTGCTGTGCTCCCCTCTCTGCAGAGGAACAATCTATTTAAGTACAGACTTGCTAACTGACGGCTTATTCACCTCCGTCATCATACTCTGTGCCACACAGACACACAGGTAGCCCTGCCAGCTTCCATTGTCACGATATGACTAAATGCAGGACTTGCAAATGTCAGCATGAAATGAAGCCTAAAATGTGATTCATTACTATTCACCTCCATATATATATATATATATATATATATATATAAAGTGGTGTAGGTACAAAGTGAAGCCTGGCAAAGATCTGACAGCGGGGGAATGGTTCCTAGATCTGGGCTCATCTATTAATCTAGATTAGGGTAGATTGTTGCTTTATTAACTATTGAGTTATATCTCCCACCTGTCCGCCTGAATCAATCAGTAATGCATGTCCAGGGATTAGGAAAGAATGGCAGGCGGCAGCTCTGGGCATTGTTTGCGCAGGATCAATTATTGGGCTGTAACGGGATCGCCAAAGAGCACTGGCTGTAATTATGGGCTCGGGGACCAGTGGAAAGTGCCCCCCTCGGAGCTGTGTACAACTAGCGCTGGCTAGCAGCGACGCAGGCAACCAGGTTCACCTAACAGGCCTTCACTAAACCGAACGTGCCGTGAAGTCATCATTTTAGCTTCTTGGAAAAACATTTTCACGTCTTCATTGGTGAATTTGAATACTTGGATTTGTATGTATACATGCCGTGGCAGTTGCAGTAAAAAGCATATAAGGATGTAAGATGATAAAAAACACTTGACTGTCAATAATTGATTGATGTGGTCGTTGCTTTAATATTATACACGCATCATATCAGTTCACATCCAGCTGCGACCCAACATGACCTCACTCCCTGTCTTAATGCCAATCGTTATTCAATGGTGCTTACTGCAGAGTGTGTTTAACAGTGAGTATGTCCAACTTTGATGTTTTCAAGGCCTGTCTGCCTCCTGCTGAGTGACCTCCCCCTGATGGTTATTTGGTTCCTGCAGGCTTCTACATTCAGGTGAGACTGTAACTAAACACAGGTAGAAGATGGATACAGGCTGGGTCTTTACTGTTGCTTTTCAGTGCATAAGCTAAATTATTTTTGGGGGTCGGGATCCATGCTCATAAGTTAGCTTAGCATTAAGACTGGAAGACGCGAGAAACCACAAAATCTGCCAATAACGATTAGTTATTAATGAATTATATCCCATTGTTTAATCTGTCCAAAATCTAAAGTGTATGGTTGTATGCTTGGGCACAGTGACTTCCTGATCAACGATCAGACGCCAATAAGCTTTTTCCCAAAATGTTAAACTATTCCTTTAATAATGGTCCATGCAACCATCAGTAACTTTGCACTAACCTTTGCTGAATTATTTCAGTTATCTTTTGCTATTAGTGAAGACAATAAAATGCAGAAAGATTAAAGCAAATCAAAAGTACTGTAGAAGGCAGACCTCAAATGTTATCGTTAAAGCACACAGATATGTATCTGGAAAGAAGAAATTGCACAATTTTCAATTTACAACCCAAAAGTTAAAGTTATCAGAGGTTAAGCCTCACTTGGTCTGGTGTGACCAGATGCGTTTAATGTCTAATGTTGGGAAAATTAGGCTACATATTGCAGATATTACTGAGTCAGTTCACTGATTCTATGAATATGTTCTACTTGTGCTGCTATCACATTGAGTTTATATCATTTACCCTTATTCCATACTTTACCTGTCACTTGGGACCACAGTGGTCATTGTCCTCAAAAGTTATAAAGTCTCGCTTTAAGAAAAATACTGACCTGTGTGATGACCTGGGAGCTAAGTTGGCGCGTACCACATAACTGCAGCGCTTGAATGCGGCACCCCTCTTTATTTCTCACCACTGTCAACTTTTAAATGAGACACTCAAAAGATAAAAGGATCTTGGATGTGGGCTGAGCTGAGGACCATGAATGGAAAAGACAAGTAGTGCTACAAATGCTCTGTCTAACTTTCACCAGCTGTTAAATTCTTCCGGCAGCACTAATTGTTGTGCGTGTGGTTTAGTATAAGGATATCTGGGGATTACACGGCATAGTCTGCATGCCTGCTGTCTAAGTGTGTGTTGTGTAGGGACAGAAGGTCCCTCTGTAGCTGCTTCTCAGTACAGTCTGACTCGGACTTTCACATTATCTGCATCCTCTACAGACTCCACTTAAAGAAATACATCTTTTGTTCGCCCAATTGGCTGAATGGATGCTCAACCACAGCAATTTTAAGGGGACAGAATGCAGCCAGTCTGTTTTAAATTTAAATTGACAAAGTATGTATTTCCAAATTGTTAAACATTTGTCTGCTGAATGGATTTTTTTTTTTTTATTGGAGTAAAAATCCAAATGAGTGGTTTCTTTGTGAGTGGATGGGTTTTTACAAGCTGGGGTGATGTGCGATTTACTAAGAGTCAACTGTTGTTCTTGTCCGTGCCCCTCTGCTAAAACAAGATAAGCTTGGCATGAATGTTAGAGCCGTCTCTCCTCAGGGGACGAACTGCCTGTGCTGGTCAGCAAACATGATACTAAACATAAGAACGTACTGCTGGACATATATAAATTAAATATATTTACATCATCTGTTGCGTGTGTGTATATCACAGCTCCAGCTACACATTCCTCACACACACATTACTCAGTTCAGAGTCATTAAACATTGGTCTGACATTGACATCTGCAAAAAGGCCTAATTCTAAACATTAGATGCACTGTTGTCCTTGTCCCTCTGTGCAGCATGCTGCCTCTGTTTCTGAAGGACGGTCTGCTGGTGCCCTATGCTGTGACCTCGCTGGCCTTCCTCTTCTTCAGCATCTATCTACTGTCTCCACTGGAGCACTGTTCAGAGGATGAGTTGAGACTGGGAGCCTACCGCAAGATGCTTTTCTGCCTGCCCAGACTGGACCTGGCCCGGATTGTAAGATGGAAGGTCAGTGTGTGGTCCGAGCCCTGGTACGACGATTAAGACTGCGAGCAGCACTGATTCAAAGACATCTGTATATAGTCATTTTGGAAGCAGTTAAGCATGTTGCTTAACTGCTTCCTGTATCTGACTCATAGACCCAAAAAAAGCACAATTTTCACCAAAGACTGTGTCGCCAGTCATGTTAAAGTCAAAACAATATTGTCCTCTTGGGGGAGCAATATTAACTAAGCGCTCATGTGATTTTGTGGTATACGTATATCAGGTACATTTTGTAGGTCAAGCTGCAGAGGTTGCGGCGGTCTGCAATCCCAAAGATTAGTACAGTAGGCAGTAATTTATGCCATTGTGGTTGCAGCTCTAATTGGCTGCCAATAAAATAAAGGTCATGCAGATTACTTAATACCTATTAACACAGATAGGGGAGGCAGTATTGTAGGTCTTCATCTTTTCCAACAATGTAAGCAGCACATAGGAAGTCATTTTAAAGCCACTATGCACAGAATATCTTTTTGATTACAGCTTCTTTCAAATTATTCTAATGCCATGAGGTTTTGCTTTTAGAGAAAATCCCAGTAAAACAATGGTGTAATCTATGTCTTCAACCCATTAATCTCATTGTTAGTAGGTCAGCTGGCATTAGTTTCCCTCTACCACAGTGTCTTTCTTGACATTACCACTAGGAGTCACCAGAATCACAAATCTTCTAACCTACACACACATGGGCTTTCAGTTTAAAGCATGGTTTTGCTTCTGGCCCGGGCTTAGTGAACAAAGTGTAGATATTGCTGCTTGGTTCAGTTAATAGTTCCTCTCTCCTCTTGTACGTGGGTGAAGGAGGATGCACAGCTGATGCATTTGTAATAAGACGGGGGCTGAGTTTAAGATCCCAGGTGGCCTGTACTTTGAAAGAGGCACAAGACCTAAATTGCAATCGTGTGAGGAGATATACCCAACTGTATAAATAAATATCATGTGCCGCTGTAAGTTGTGTAAGCTGTCCGGGGATGAAAGCCGCTGCCAGGCGAAGAATTATTTATCACTTATTTAAGTTTCCACAGCGTCTGAAGTGGCTGCACCGCCAGCCCCTTAGCGACAGGGGCCCCGGTAGGGTGTCAGAGATTAAGAGAAGGTGTCTTTTTATAGCGCGTGTCATTAACACAGGTTTGCCTAGATATATTTATTTACACAAGCAGCGTAAATAGCGAGCCCCGATGTCGGCGATAAGGTTTCATGGGTTTAGGGTGGCAGGGCGGGTGTGGGCCCGAGGCGTTTCCTGCATCTGACTCGCCGACTTATCTCTGGCTCATAAAGCCCAAATAGACACGTGAATGAGCTTACCGGCAGTTCTCTTTGCAACTCTGTAAAAAGGCAAAAAAGTAGTTTTGTAGGCCTTAATTCAAATCTGCTATTCGGCGGTGTGATACTTTATAGCAACTCTCGAATGACCAATTTGATGTAAGTCATCCAGGGATAAATAGGCAATGTCATTTGAGAGCTCCGTCATTATAGTTCCACTTAAAATTGAGGGGAAAGCTAATAGTTTGTTCTTGGCCTAAGGTGACCGGTCCTTTCATTGTTTTTTACGAGGAACAGTTTCTGGTTTGGAATATTAATTCAGTCATCACAATATAAGCGATTCTGCAAAGAGTTGTCTACGTTAAATGGGAATCTCTGCAAGAGGCTGAGATACCCTGAATGCTAGTCCCTAGAAAAGGTCAAACTTAAAGAATGCTGGATCCTTTGCTGGACATAATACAACTGTTATTAGACCCTCCCTGCACCTCCACATCTTTAAAAATCATACATATAAATATATAAGTCGACATCTTTTTGTCAAGCTAATGTTTAGTCTCTCTAAAGTAGCACCTGACCACAGCTATTTCCCATCAGTCCGGGTTTGTGAAGTCTTTTAGTGTTTCATTATGAACTCGTACTATCTGCTCTCGTGTCCCTGTGCTCAGTTGAATCGCTTGATGACCACTCCGCCCGTCTGTGTTACAGTTCTACATCAGCGTCGCGGCCATGGCTGTTCTGAGCGTCGTGACTGTCGCTCTGGTTCCTCCACCACATCTACCCGACTTGTTTCCTGTGTTGGTGTCTTCTACTGCTTTCGCGCACTTCTTGGGAACATTTATATATTTCAATATTGTCCAGTTCAGCGAGCCACCTAGCAGAAAGAGCCAGAAGAAGAACAACTGATGGAGTCAGTGATATGCACTGCACATTTTTACATGCTTTAGGGAAGCCAGTGTTACACCGCTGGTTACGTCTGCTCTTAATGTGCATAAAGGCTTTCACTCGTGCCATCATGTCCCCAATGTAAATAATCAAAAGGATATTAATTGGCAACAATTTTGATAATCAATAATTTAAGTCAATCTTCAAGAACAAACGACAGATGTTTGATGGTTCTGAGATTGATCTGTTTGTTCTTCCTGCATTATAGTAAATTGAACATTTTTGGTTTTAGGCTGTTGCTCAAAACAAGATTTCTTTGCTCCCTGAAATTAAAATTGACATTTTTACTGACCAAATGATTATTGACCAAATGTTTAGCCCAGAAGATAATCTGCAGATTAATCATTAAGGAAAATAATCATTAGATACAGCCCTACATAAATGCTTCTTAAAGGGATATTGTGGCCTGAAAAATCACTAGAGTACAAAATGTCAACTCCGATGACATAAAAAAACGAACGGATGGAGATATTTCTCCAGTATGGACCAAATAAATTCAGGAAATCCGTCCCCTCTTTTACCATATCTGAATCGGAATTCTTGCTTGGAACAATGAAACTTAACTCTTCAAACCTTATTGCTGGCTAATCAAACAATCACAAATAGACAAGCAGTGTGCAGCCTTCACATAGATAGCTCTGTGTCTGTATGCTAAAGCTACAGGGGGCGGCCACATTAATAAGAACACCTGTTGAAAGGTTTCGTTATGGTTAAGACCACGGGGAGAGGTGTTGATTACATTTTGTGGTAACTTTTAAAGCCATAGATTGTGGTGGTGCTAGACTTAATGATATTGTAGGGTGTTCCTGTTATTTTGTCCACCCTCAGTTCCTACTCTTTGTGTTGCGTGATTAAAACGCGTACCGGATGGGACCGGTCCCATGTCTAGCATTAACTGTTGATCATAATTCACGAGAACTTTGTTTTTTTTACGGTTTTCTACTGTATATATTTTTTAATCCAGCATTGAAGTTCTTTTGTACAAACCTCGTTTTTGTGAAAATAAATAAAAATCCTCAATGACTTTAAAGTGAACACGAGTTTTATTGCCACATTGTTAAAATGATTTAATTTTGAGCAGCTTCATATAAACTGTCTACATTTAGCAAGTAGTCCGCTAAATCACCCCTAACAGTCTGGCAGAGACAGAGCCAATAATTGGACAGAAATTATATCTTTCAAAGCTTTTACTCAACATCATTAAATATTCATTACAAGTCCTAGATACTACAAGGGCCCTGCACAAAAGACCTGTTCATTTAAAACAAAACCAGCGACAGGACAGGCCTTAAAAAGAGATGATGGAAGGTGACATATCTGAACATAATGCTATAAAGTTGAAATACCACAGAAAAAAAAGGTACAAGCAATTTCTTTCTCCAATCTCTGAGCGAGTTAATGACGGGCATAAAAAAATCCATTACAACTATAAATGTTATCAGGTCAGTGAGGGTTGCCTGTGCATCTGAGGCTCCAGGCCGGGAGCCAATAATGAGACACGGGGACAAATAGGAGCCCAAGATCTGAGTTAACTGTTACTACAATAGGACATGAACACAAGGGGCCAATTAGAGGTGGTGCAAAGGCGTTGGTCTGCCCTTATATTACATGTGGTTATATAAAGTCATGCCATTTCATTTAGAAAGATGTGCTGAAAATGGGAATTTACCTCCAACCTCTGAAATGGGGAAAAGGGGAAAGAAAAATCAATACTATTAGTAGTAAGTTAGTAGTATAATACAGGGAAACGACGAATACATCTGGTGTAAATGAAATCAATACATTCAAAACAATAACTTCTGGTCTACCTTTTTCAGATTAAATAGTGCTTCAACGATTAGTTGAATATTCGACTTAAAGAAAATGACAACTGGGCAACTCGTCTGCCGAGGAAGATCATTTGATACGATCAAAAGCTGCAGATATCAACAACAATTTGAATAATCAATTTCAGTTCATTATGACGTAAAAAGCTTCTGAAATGTGATGGTTTTCTGCCTCTGTGAATTCATGTCATCGAAATGTTAATATGTTTGGGAATTGTCTGTCGGTTGGACAGAAATGGCAATTTGAAGTCATCATTTTGGAAACTTGTATCGGTTATTTTTCTGAAATTGAAAAATACTGAAAGATTAATCGCTAATGGAAATTATTTGTTATTAGTACTGAATAATACTGTACATAACTTTATTGAAGACCCATGTATAAACCAGATACTCAAAGGTACGCTGCAGTATGTGACGGTACACTACCAGCCACCGAACAGTGTCATTAAAGCTACAAAATATAACACTTATCGAAGCAAGCTGCCTTGTCCGGCTGCCTTTACACTGCTCTGTTGTAACTGTTATGAGACAGATTGGAAACTCATGTATAAAAGTGTCTCATTCAGCAATTTCAGCCTGATAAAATATCCAGTTCATCTTTTTCATTGTCAAGTCACGGTGAAAGCAAGTCTCCCGTCACCACCTCGTCTCTGCCCGAGGAGGATGCATGTCACCATGTTTCTGTTCATCTAACGCTCAGACAAGACTCAGGCACAGGGAGTAGTGACTGTACCCTCACAGCTAAAACTCTGTGCTAACGGGAGATGAAGAAAATCTCCCTAAGGGACCCCAGATTACTACTACACATTACGAGAAGTAAGAAGATGAGCAAACAGATCTCAACCTATAGAGGAAACCGTATCGGTAAGAGGTTCTTTGTGATGCATCGGTGGAGGCAAGCAGCACGGATCTAACTATCAATCTCCGGAGGGGCCAGTATCAAAACATTAGTTTTGTTTACGAGCGTGCTGGCTTTGTCCTTCACGTGGCCTCTAAGGGTGATAAAGTGAGAGTTACACGATCCACCTTGGGCAGAAATAGGAAATGTTGCTGTGAACACCAGCTGTTGCTTAGGTCGACACGGGCAGTGAGAGGCCTCGGCCTTTCCAGGCACTGCCAAATAAAGAGACTACTGTCTTGTGCAAGACAGTTTGCCCCCCCCTTACCTTTACTTTTCAAAGGTGCTAAACTGCACAGGTGGGAAGGATTGCAAGGTTTTAGCCATGAAGGGGATGAGGGTTGCCATCTGAAAGAACATTATTTGCACAGCGTTGCAGCATTGTGGTTAATGTAGAATCAACATTTGTCAGCTGCCATGCTGAGGCTCCGGTGGGGAGACGGGGGTCTAACATGCCAGAGGATTCGCTCCCACTGTTTCAGACACTTGTCTCGCAGATGAATGACGGCTTCCAAGACATCTCAGCCTCACAACTGCCAGCGCAGATTCCACATTCATTTTCCTGCCTTATCTCCGCGGGATCATACGCACAAGAGGTGAAGAGCAATTTCATTAGCTGTCAACAGACGAAATGCCTCGCTAACAAAAACCTGGGGAATATGGGAGAGGAAAACATGATTGTAACCCCACTGGCACCTGATATTACACACACACACACACACACACACACCAGTCACTGTCGAGACTGAATGTTCATGAAGATGAGAGTAAACAGGAGGCATATTTTTCCATATACCAAGATGTATGGAAATTGATTTCTGTCAGTCTTTAAACTACAATTTGTAATTAATTTCAAATTTTTCTAAATTATATTTCTTTTTTTTTAACTCAGCCCATAATGGACTTCAGAAACTCGGAGGAGCTACCCATCTTCACAATTCTTGTCTTGACAAATAGGGAGTTAACATAAAGTCAATGACAATCTCAAAATCTTATCCTATGATAATGCTAATCGGTGTTTTCATTCAACCCTCGGCTATATTTGGTTATGAAAGAAACAGATTATTTGCTTGCTATGTTAATATTTCAAAGAAACATGGAAGTATATTTTTTTGCACCCTAAGATGAAATGCAATGACACTCACTAAATCAGAAATCATGCCTGGAAAGATTGCATACTCCGCAACCCACATTGTCGATCGAAGGCCAGCGGCTTCACTTGGACCAAAACTGTCTAATATACAACTCCCCCCTTTAATTGTAACCGTGTGTTCAATCAGAAAGCATAAAACTCCCGGTGGGTAGGTGGCATCTGTCCGTGAGGCCTGCTAGGATTGATGTGCCAGAGTCTGGGCCGGTGGCCCACAACCTGCGACACAGCCCCATCACTTTTATGACTTCTTAAGGAATCTTCTTTTTAATACAGCCCATTACTGCCGACATACAAATCTTCCCCCACGTGGCCCGATCTGTGGCCTGATCAATTTTTACACTGCTGAGCCGTCCCCTTTCTCCTCATTTTGTCATATCAAAATTCATATTATATTGGATTTTCTTATGGGAAAACTGCAATAAAAATATGTTAGCACCCCGAAGATGTGCACAAGTCAGGACTTGGCTGTTGCTAAAAAGCTCCGGAGAAAATAAAATTTGTTTCTGCAGTAAGCAGAACTGTTTAAATGTTATTTATTTTTATGTTCCTAAGAAAATATATTGTGAAGTGCAGCATTGATTCAGAACATAACCATGTCTCGATACCGGTCGGAGGGGCTGAATTTATGAATCCTTTGCACAACTCCTTTAATTGAATTTTCCAAATATCTCACCACACACAAATAATCAATACCCACTGCTGAGGGAAACTTGCCTCAGAATTATTAGGGCCTTTCTTTTTCAATTTTGTAGTCATCAGCACATACAGGCGCTGCGGGTATTGGTAATGCCGCGACTATACCCGGAGGATTTATGCTCGCCCCGAGCCTGATTGCTCACCAAGAGTGACTTCTTTAGAATGCTTACTGAAACTTTTGTTAACCTTAAAGGACGGTCGTAAGCGCTTCTTAACGCTGCGCTCTCACTCTGAGGGAAGAAGAAGAAGGCTAGTTTAAACTAGTGTATCACAGCGTCAGACGGAAAAGGGGATGACAAGGCAGGAAAAGGGGGGAGTGGCGGGGGAAGAAGACATGTAGAAAGGGAGGCAGGATTGGAGGATTGACCTTCAAGGTTTAAATGTCCTCGAGGATTTACTCAGCTGCCTCGGCAGGGTGGAGGTGCTGGGGGGGGGGGGGGGGGGCGGGGGGGGGGGGGGGGGGGGGGGGGCATACGGAGTCTGAACATGCAGAAAGGCCATGGAACATTTATTTGTACCACTACTAAGTTCAGACAATATAAAAGCATCCAAAATGTGCAGTGTTTAGGGTAACTCTGTGTAATGAAACACACACACTACACACAGGGGCTTTACTGCTACAGCCTCATGTGGTCTGGTGTGACCAGTAGTCTGTTAGCAAGCTTTAGACAGATGTTGCCTTGTCATCATCATTCACCGTTATACTATTGTGAATAGCCTGCATATCAAAAGGCCGACAAAAAGGTGCGGCAAACCAGTGCAGTCTCTACATCTTTTTAAATACTGTGACCTATGCCATACCAGCATGGCTCAGGTCAATTGAAAATCATATTGCAGTCTCTAAAACACGCTTCAATGTAGCTCTGTAAAGACTTCAGGGTGATAGATAGAATTGTGCTCCAACACAAAATGCATGCAAGCATATGGATCCTATCGATGTCAAGATAAGAGAACAACCAGCGCATAATATTCCTCTGTCCTCATGAAGCCCTTTCCAAAGAGCCTCCTACACATCCCTCCCTTGTATTCAGCACATGGAGCCAAAGCCCAAAGGCCGTAGAAGTGAATCTAAACAAACACTTTACACTAGAGCAGGATCATGCTTCAAGTTACCATCAACATCATCTGTCTGGATTTCACGCCTCCCAGAGGATATAGGCCAGAACTCTTCAGCAGCTTTTTAATAACAGTTTGTTTACTTAAAATGTGTGTCTCAATGCACATAGAGGGCCAATTCTCTCCCACATCTATCCGCCCTGACATTGTGAAGTCTGTTGTTGGAAGGAGACTGATGCAAAAGTGATAAATTTCACGGATCCACCATGTGACAAAAAATGTGACATTCCCGGGGTGCGGATCCACAATGCATCATGTATGTTCTCCTCCCTCACTGGAACTAATTAAAATAATTTCTGACAACCTTATCGGAAAACAAGCTCGCCTCCTGACAATACCCTCTATTCATTTTCCACAAGTCACCATTGTATGATTGGATCACAAGAATTGCTCTGCTGCAGGCATAATATGTGCCTAAAATAATCAAATTAATTCTATCAGTAGGAAATCCACTCATTGGCTTGTTTGTGTAACCATAACAAAATGTTGTTTTTCTGCAAAGGTCGCAAGCACACAATTGTCTGTACAACAAACAAGCATTCATTGATGCTGTTCATGTTAAATAGCGAAGAAGATGCAGGGGGAAGCAAATCAAATAGTGAGGGTTTAGCGGGTGGGGTTGTCCTTGGGAATGAAACGGCCTTGTGACTACATTTGTTTCTCTGCTCATCTTGAAATCAACCGAACAACTGGGACCAAAATGTTTTCACACAGCTCTTTAAAGACCTAGAGATAAGGTCACAATCCATTTTTAAAGGATGTCATTGAAAAATAATGTGAATGAAAACACGTCTTGATACAAGCAAATGTAGGGATACAGGCCTTTTATACTGCACAGAACTTCAGTGGGATATAAAAAAAAGCTCTCAAGCCTTTAAACCATTCAAGTTGTCGAACAAATGAAAATGTATTTGACCTTTGTAGTCATAAGTGTAGAAATGTTGCATCAATTTTATCAAACACGTGTGTCACCTTTAATCTTCAGTAAATCTTGTGATATTGATCAACTCTCAGCTCTGCTTAGCACGTGGCCGTAAAGCCTCTCAGTGTGATAAAATCCCAGTAATGTGAAGTAGGCGTGTTTACCTTGATGATGTAGGAGCGTAATAGCGCATCAATATATTAAACAATAAAAGATTGTTTACTCTAACACTGTGTTTACTGGTTTATAACCTTGACTGTGATGCTCGGGGTGTTTTGTCTTCTTCCAAAGATGACTCTACTCTGGGTGCTGAAACGACACAAACATTTTAAAAGTTGGAAGAAATAGAGAGCCTCACGCAAAACTTGTGTTTAACAGAACATAAATCATAAGTAGTTTCATGCATCTTTACATCCAGTTGAGTGAGTGGAAAGTGCAGTCATATTACATTGTACTCACTCAGCTCTCTGTGTCTCTGTCTTTAAGTCAGACGATCCAGTGAAGAAATGTCCTTGTTCACTGCTGCCATCTGCTGACTAATTAAAAAAAACAGGACCCCCCCCCCCCCCCCCCCCCCCCCCAGAGGAGATGGTGGGAAATGAATGAACAAATTATATTAAAAACACAGCTGTATTCTGAAAGGGAAAGCCGTGTCAGAAGTGAATATTCAGTATGTAATAAAAGCCATCATCTCTCAATCTGAAGATATGATGGAGACGGGGACATTTCCGCCTATTGTAAAGATTTAAGACCAAAGAAAAAGTCTTACTCATGAATATTTCCTCCAGCTCTTCCCTGGCCTTGATGAATGCGTCCACTGACTGCTCCAGTTTGGATCGCAGGGAGTACAATCTGGTCAAAGCAAAAGAGAGTGTCGTTACAAAGGCACAATGACTCTTTCTATTCTTTTAATGCTTTGTATTATAATTCTGACAGTGTGATCTATTCAATAAATAATTGGCTGTAATATTAGAAACTAAAACATATCTCTGGAAAGACCACACATACATTGGTTGGACCCTGAATAAGCATAAAGGAGAGATTGAAAACCACAAGATGCAACCCAGGACTTACAATACAATAAAAAACATTTCATGTCCATCCTGAATTTGGGCTATTTTGATTGCATAGTGGTAATGATCTGAACAATTGTCAATAACTAAAGCATCGTTCATCTAAAAGACCCTGTTATAAAGCAGTCATTTTTAAAAAATCTCTTCTTAATTCATTTAATTATGTATCTCCATTTTTGTTGTGCTTTATTGTATTCTTGTATTGCATTGGTGTGGAAGTATGTCTGTTTTTATTCTGGCTGTTAGGGGTTCCACTTTTCATCTCCAAATACAATTAAACTTATTTCAAAATGTACAATAACTTACAACACTGCTTTTCCCCCAAATGACCCTAATATGACATAACCAAGTGAGTGTTATGAATGTACTGTAAATCGAGCTCATGTAACTTATTAGTGACAGCACTATAAAATTAAAAACTAATGCTTGTCTTGATGGATGGACCAGACACCAACTGTCTGCCTTCACTAAGGAAATGGTTCTTGTGTTAAGTGACTCTTATACAACTATTTTTAGTGCTATGTAAATCACTGATATTTTGGCCCGTGATGGATCTCCGTCATTCCGTGTCTCCTGTCATTAAATTCTGATATGTCACTATGACCATCAGGAAAGTGTGTCAATTGAAATATAGCAACTCGTAAAAAGGAGTTCTCTGTAACCCTTTAACCCTATGCTCTACTTTGTATCTCAGTGTATTGACAGTTAGTGGTAAAAAGATGTTATTGCAGCCTACAATATAACTCATTGATGAAATAATGTTGGAACATATGGGAACTACGACTTGAGTACTCACTTTTCCAACTCTGTCTGTGGGACCTCGTCTTCCTTTGTTGTGACTTTGGTGTTGCCCATTGATGAAGCACCACATCCTTAATAACCCAATCTACAGTACATTGGCAGGAATACAAGTTGCTGCTGCTTGGTGGACTTATATTGGGACAGTATCATTATTTATTCCTTTTCAGGAAGGACAACAACCCCAGCTCTATAATCTAAACAAACTAATTTTTTCAGTAACTGCCTGCCTCACAGTTACATTATACTGTTTCTGGCTGTTAAATTCAAGCACATAAAACCACATTTAGAGTTTGAGATGTGTAGCATGCTTGAGTGTGTGTGCAGTCCGTTAAGATATGCAGGTGTTCATTTTAAGCAATCTGAATACACTATTTAGACATGAGACATAGCACTGACAATGACCAATATGTCAGTACTGTTCTTGGCACAAGTTTTCACTGATATGAACATGGCCTGAATATATTTGTCCTGCTTCTATGCAGAGCTCATGCCTTTGCAGGTTTGGGACATCCTTTGTTACATGGTACACTGGTATGTCTGTAGGGACCTGCAATGACATTGACAACACACCTGCTTGAGAACTTGCAGTTCAGTCGAAGGTGTTTAGTTTCATGCAGATACATGTATTTTGCAATAGAGAGAAGACACAATTTGATTGAAACATGCACGGCAACTAACCTTTTAAACAAAGGAAGCCTAAAGGTTTCCCTTTAAACTAAATACTATTTTACACAGAAATCAGAAAGCAGTATGTTAGCTACAAATTGATTACATTGCCAGTGGTCACGTCAAATGTATTTACATAGCCCAATATTACATATCACAAATTTGGTTCAAGCAGCTTAAGCGCACTTGGTTTAAGGACCGATAGTTTACTTACATGATGGGCATTGTTAATGTGCATTGCTCTTCTCACTCTGTTTAAAAAAATAGTGTTAGGTGTCAAGGAATTGTGTTATTTCACACAAACCTAAGCCATTCTAGGTTATTTATATCTGAATCTTCACTGTACTTTAGTAGTATTCCAGTGACACAAAAATTAGCTCACACAAATAAATAAATAAATAAAATCACAATACCAAAGTAAAGGAATGCTGTTTGTGAACCTGCAGCAGCAACAATCAACATCATGCAGCAAAATGCCCTTTCTCGGCCCATTGTGTTTCTCTTACATATTATCATGATAATAAATATGAGGCTCACTGCGTTTACCACTTTGACGACATCAATGACAGGAAAATACAGTAATACTAATTTTATGGAACTATTGCAGCCACGAGAGATTAAAAAGAAAAGGATGAGGCCACAACAGACACTAATATGTAAAAACACACTTTTCAGGCGCCGTTAAGTATAACAGCGTTATTGAAGTCACACAAACTAACTTAAAACGTCAAAGTTAATACTGTGTATTGATTATTATATACTGTGATGTAAGTCAGGGAAGCGTCTATTGATGCCACGCAGAAAGTTTTATTGGCTACGATACAATTTATACGACAGTAGATTAACAGATTTTAAGGTTGTTTTAGCAGAGGTTTGTTTGTCACAAATGTATGAATCTAGCGCCTTTGCTACATTAAAACAGTACGAGTAAAACATACATGCTCCGGTATATAGTTCCGCATGTCGCAGTAATGCAAAGACGACTAAAACAACGAAACAAACTGTCTGAGTCAAAAAATAAATCCTTATATATAATCTAAAGACTGTGTGTATTTATTTAATGAACTCAAATGGTCTAATACGACGTTGCATTTTTTTTGGCAGGAACGGGAAGAATTAGCGTTGTTTCCTCCGTGGCGTTTTTGGTGAACACTGAGGAGTTTTTGTTTACCTAGCAACAGACAGCAAAGGTAGCAACGGTGTTTGGTGAATGTCTCTGCGAACGCGAATCTGGTTCAATGAAATGCATCTTGCGTGCTTTCAGGCGATTGTTACGATGTGATGAAAAAGTATAAATAATAGTTAGCTGCCATATTTGGCTTTCGATTGGTTGTATAAGCTAAAGAGTGCTACATTAGCTAGCTGTTAATTTGCTTACGATAACCAGGTCGATCTCTACTTCCTAAGATGTCTTTTCAAGAGTCACCTCGTCCTTCCGATGAAGAGGAGGCCTTCTACGTGCAGTGTAGAGCCGCATACCTTGCTGTGTTCAAATCTAGTTTGACAAATATTGCTTCGAAACAGCAGCTATGTCGTGGTAAGCTAATATTATACTATTAGCTTAACTAACCTTAATATAAATTCAGGTCATCTGGAAGCAAATATCCACACAGAGTATACTCCTTGGACACTGAGTTATGAGGATGTTACTGGGGTATGGCCATTTTCTTTTTTACGACTGAAAGTCTTGCCATTTTACAATATAAAACTAAATTGGATGCAATTTTCCAGAAACTGTTATACACCGACAGCTGGACAGTAATTCAGGACCACTGTACAAGAGGTGTCAGCTGATCACAACTCGTATTCATGTTCTAATTTCCAGCTCTGAGAGACAGTTGTCTGCTCGCAAATATTGACTTAACGGTGCATGTTCAAAAGGTTTTTGGAAGAGGACAATGTCAATTTTCTAGGGCGTATTTGCCCTTTAAACTTTTAACAAACTGCTACGAAATATGTGTAATATGATGATTGTTCCCCAATCTCTTAAGTTACTTCTGGGTAAACAAAGGGGATGTTGAGGGGTTACATTTTATAATAAGAAAAGCAACTCATTGTGGTGGATTTTTAATTTTTAAATAATGTACATGTCATTTAAAAGGGGTGAAAAACTATAATCCCATTTATCCTATTAAGCTCTACAGCAGGCTGGTAGAAATCCAGCCCATGCAACTCTCAATAAATACTGGACCCCGAGAACATCCAAACTGAACTTTGATGACTTCTGTGAGATTCTTAAAAAGGAGAAGAAAACTGAGGACACTGAGCTGATGAGAGCCTTCAACAAGATGGATTTGAACAGTGATGGCTACATCTCACACAGTGAACTGGAGAAGGCCCTGACCACTGTAAGTAGCCTCAAACAGTTTGTGGATGAGAGCTCTGTAACACATTGTCTGCTTATTTTTAAGATTTATGTTTATGTTTTGGATAAACTTGTTAATTTTTAATAAATTGAGTGACTTCTGAGCCAACAGGAGACCCACTAATGTTGTATTACAGATGTAGACTGCCTAAACACAAACTGATCAAAATCTCTGATCGGTTCATGCTCAAATGAAACAGTCTTATTTTGTCGTGGTGTTTTGCTATTAAAGAAAATATGTTGGATCTTTTAGAGAGGAGAGAAAATGACCACTGAAGAGGTGAATGCTATTTTTTCATTGGCTGACATCAACAAAGACGGCAAACTGGACTATGCAGAAGTAAGTTTAGATAAGTTTAAATTACTTCTGATGCTAATACCACACTTGTCAGCTTACACTATGTGTCCAAGCCTATGAAAACGTGTATTTTATATACATTTATCCTATCTTCATGTAACATTTTTCTTTGAAGTTGAATTGAATTCACATAAGATACAGAAGAATCAGCGATGCGAAGTGGCACAGAAAACCCAATAGTGCAAAAGAAAACAACCCTATGACCTCCTATGCTTTGCTCCAATATTGTCTTTATTTAGTGTCATATGTTTACCTCCATCCAGGATGTAAGCATCTCTGACCCTCTCTCTTGCCTCACAACATCCTCATGTATCATGCTCTCACTGCTGGTTTCCTCTTGCTGTCAGTTCTGCAGATTGTTTGTGTCTACAGTGGAGCAGTGTCAGATGGCTGCTTTGGAGAGGCTCGAGGCAAATGCCAAGCTGAAGAGACAGAACTTTGGCAGTCGGTCATACAGCCCTCCAAAGAGCTCAGTGTCATCAGCATCATCAGCAGCAGCAGCAGCGGCAGCACAAGCAGCAGCGACTCTCCCTCAACCTCCAGAAACAGACGCCACACTCAAGAAAGGTACAACATGTAGGGATGGAATAATCTGACTTAAAAGTGACATTTATTTTGAAAGTTAAAGACATGATGAGTGATTCCACAGGGGAAAATATTTATTTGTCATTCCCTCAAAAGTAGTCTTCTTTACACACAAACGGTAATCTAACTTCCGACTATATCTTATATGAATTAACTATATCTTATATGAATTAACTATATCTTATATGAATTAACAAAGATTAAAAAGAAAAACGATCAAGGCCACAGGAAAGAACAAAAACAAAAAAGATTATAACCTTCGATGGCTTCTCATAGCTACTCTGTCCCAGAATTCTGCACTGTACTGTTTGCATCACCAGCCACTACTCTACTCAGCGTCCAGCTATGCTGAAAATATATTGAGCAGTCTTTATTTTTGCATGGAAATGCTAATATCTTATTAGTGTATGACTGCAGAACATAATGGCAATTTGTGCGGCACAATCTACAGGTACAAAGTAGCAGCCATTGGCGACTGCACATCATGTATACTTCAGATTCCAATTTGTAGTTGCACACCCATACACACTGCTTGCCCCAATACGCCTCGCCGATTACTTTTGATGAATAAATAATAGCTCTGTTATTGATCGATTTTTCACTCCCCCTGTGACAAATCACCTCATTAAGACAGTCCATTCATCATAATAGCCACACAATTAGGGCAGCTTGTTTGGTGGGAGGAGACTGTAGAGCGTTGTGATTTGGGTAATCACTTCTGCCATTAAGAGATTGACAAAAGCTCCATCTATGCTGATGAAAAATGCCGCCGTTCAACTATGGCTTTGGAGTTGGCACGCTTGCCAAAAAATACGTTTTCATTGCTTAAGCAAACAAGGACTGGCATCACGTCCAGCTTCAGCCTTCCGCAACCGTGGATGATGAATCAACAGAGTGTTTCTGTGCAAAAAGACAACACCTTCAGCCGGTTGAAGGTGGACGTAAAAATCCACTTTTTGCACTTTAAAAGCAGCATTCTGAGGAAAAGAGAAGTTACGGAGATCCTGGATGAGCGAGCCACGGACAGGCCCACGGTGGGAAGATAGATGGGGTTGATTTAGGTGGTCAGTCCATGTTCATGTTATTGATTTGGAGGATTCCACCACTTCTCACTGGGGAGATGATGAGGGATTAGACGGTTGTCGAGAGGAGGGCCCAGTCGACCACCACTGCAAAAACAAATGAGCTCCCACATAGTTGTCGGGATTATCACATTATTGTGCCTCTCCCTCGTATTGATTTATACCTGCTACATTTTAACAAGGCTCCAACACGAGATGCAACCTGATCGCACATGTGGAATGGGTTATTCTTGGAGCTCAAAAACAGTTTTGACTGCTCATTTGCTCCTAAATTTGTCAGTATATACCACTGAGAAATACTATGTGTTAACTGTACGCGAGATGGGTCATTTAGGCTAATTGTTTTACAAATAATTGATGAGATACAGACCAATTATCAGTCATCAGTTGTTGTGTGTCTGACGTGTTTTGGCAAACAGTCAGACCGATTGATGAACTGTCGTGGTGTTTCTCTATTAATTGGTCTGTTTAGTTCAATTCTTGCAGTTCTCCACCACTAGTGCTGAAACAATACTGGCTATAAACTCACACTGAAGCTTTTGTTTGGCCATGTTTCAGTGCATCTTTGTCCACAGTCACACAACAGCTACAATTTGATCCTCTAGATTAAAATACCCCCATCAATACAAAATAGATCTATCACAAATACCATGACAGTGGGTCTATTTATTTCTCTGCCATGGTAATTTGCTTGTAAGCCTATCGCATTACTTCGCAGCCTCATTTCCCAGGCTTGGAAACAATCAGACCCCTCATTAGTGAATTGATATTTTCTGGCTTCAATTAGAGTTCAAGGGAAAAAGTTGTGCGAGATAATGGATTTGAGAGGGTGCTGTTATGCCATTTGTGATTTGAAAGGCCTCCATAATTAATTAAAAGGTAGTTGAGCTTGAGAACACACTTTCCCAGAACCCAAAATGCAAAGTAGCCGTCTTCGCTTGAACTTGGGAACGGACTTCTGTGAAGGCGGATTACAGTGTCAATTATGTTGTGCACCTCATCTCTCTCTCAAAAGTGTGTTTACCGTTCGGAGAGAGGACGGCTGTACTTACTCTGTCAGTCAGTCAATTGAGTGTTCTGTTCTGTTGCAGGAACTTGATTTATTTATCATAACTTTGGATGGATTTTTAGCATATGAGTTTTTGTGTTAGCGTTTAGCGATGTGAGTTTTCATGTTTGTGTCTGCTGTGTGTGTGTGTGTGTCTCAGACAGCAGATCATCCTCCCGTCCCTCTTCTGCTCGCAGCAGACGGTCGTCCCTGTCGAACTCAATCACGATGACATCCAGCAGCAGCACTAAGGCCAGCAAAATACCAGAGCCTTCAGGCTTACAGGTAACCCCCCCCCCCCCCCCCCCCCACCACCCACCCATAGTCATAACGACCCTAGAGCTGCAATTTATCTCATCTTCATTATCAATTCATCTGTCTATTATTTTTCAGATTAAGTGATTAATCATTAATCTATGAAATGAAATGTCAAAAATATAGCGAAATATGTTCTGAGAGCCGAAGGATATTTCTGAGATCGTGTTTGTCAGTTACCCATCAAAGTCCGTGTTTGAAGACGTTCTTATACTAAACAAAGTAATAACATAACCAGAGCTGTCATAACTCAACTTGTAGTCCCAGTTTAGTTCCTGTCTGCTAATGTTTATAAATGGCTTTTGATGACAGTAAATTGAATTTAATACAGTAATGTATAGTAACTCATCCATCACATGGTTTGTTGTATATTGTTATTATATTCTATATGCAACATGCTAGCTGTGTTATGAATCTGAATTATTAATTGTTTGTCCCATCACTGACAAAACCTGTGAATCTTAGTATGTGGGCTCCAGTGAGAGACTCCATGATAGCGAAGGACTTTCCAGCCCCACTGCTCTCCCAGTGTCACTGTGACCCATTGCTTTTCATGATGGGCGTACACTGTACTGATCCCACGCTCTTTGTTTTCACACTTTTGGGCTTAACCTCGGCTGGTTTGCTTTACAGCAAGAAAAATAAATAAATAAATAAATAGAAATAACAGCCCTGTGCTCCATCTCTCAGGTCCCGGCACTGTGTTGAGATTGGAAAGGGCCAGACATCATCGTGGTAGAAGAATGTGTGTCCAGAGATTACCTCTGAGGGAAGTTCTGCTCGCTATATTGGCTGCTATATTGCCATAGGCCGATAATTGGGTGGTGGTGGGTGGAGGGTGGAGGGTAGGCTGTGTTTTTGCAGTGGTGTGAAGGTGTGTGTGTGTGTGTGTGTGTGTGTGTGTGTGTGTGTGTGTGCATGCATGCATGCATCGCCTTGTGGGATGCAAATTTGTCATCATGAATACAAACATAACAAGTAAAGGATATTTAATTTCAGGATTTGTTTTTATGAATGGGTTAGAGTTATAAGGTAAAGGTTGTGGTTAAAATGCGTGTGTTAAGGTGTGTGTGTGTGTGTGTGTGTGTGTGTGTGTGTGTGTGTGTGTGTG